TATCAGTTTCGGAGTGGCACGAATGCTATGACAAATGGTTTCATCGATCATCTCGGGGAATATTTTGAAAAACAATAAAACCATTTTCGACAAAAAACAACTGTGTTATATATGTTTTTAAAAAAAATTATGGAGCAACCCTCGTATTTAGTAGACAATTCTTGTGCCGAAATTCTTGAACATCCAGATAGAATATTTAATGTTGATGAAACTTCATTTTGCGTCAATCCAAAATTGGGTAAAGTTCTTGCAAAACGCGGAGCGAATAACGTGTATCGCTTAAGTATTGGTAGTGAAAAAGATTGCTATACCGCACTCATTGGTGGTAAGTTATTTTAATTTTTTTTGTATATATGTGTGCAAAAGTTTTCCGAAATATATGAACATATACATCTAAATAGTAAAAAGAAAATTGAATTATGTACGATTTCAAAAATATCGCCAAGTATGCATATAATGTCATTCAAATACAATACAAATACATAGAGAATTGAACGCCTCAATTATCGCGCCAATATTGACAGCAAGTGTCATATCGCATTGTTATTTTTGCCGGCAAAGTTAAGAGCACACAATCGAGCACAATGAACATACATTCAGTTATTTTGTTGAAAAATTTGCGCAAAATCATTGTTGTAAAACATGATTGGATCGATTATTTCAAGAATGCGCAGGTTTTGAACAGTGGTATTACACGGTATAATCTCCGAAAAATATTTTATTCGGATGAAGAAAAGGCACCAAATTTTGAACTCCCAATCCGTGAAGAATTCGATGAAAACAATGATGCTTGTTACGAAGGCTATGTTCTTCGCTCATTTGGTAAGTGAATGTTATCAAATTTAGTTTTTAATTTGATTATGTGTAGAATTGTGTAAATCTTATACATTTGTATAAACTAAACGTAGATCACAAGTTTTTGGCCGTCAGTTACAGTGACCGCAAACGTAAACTACGACCACTTGACTACGCTGAACAGAAACGTCGTGAATTCCGTGACAACGAAATCGAATTTAAAAAGGAAAGAATGGAAACAATGCACAATACTATTTTACAACTCAACCGTGTTATTGAACAATTTGGTCCGCAAGATTTAACTGAAGACGAAGTATCTGAATCGATTCAGATTTTGTTGAATGCAAACGAAGAAGAAGAAGACGATGGCGTTGAAATGCGCGATGACGTCATGCCAAATGTTGCCCCGTCAAATGTGTCCAATACAAAAAATCACGCCGTTGATTAGCAAGAAAACGATGGCGTTGAAATGCGCGATGACGTCACGCCAAATAACGCCCCGTCAAATGTTTCTAATACAAAAAATCGCGCTGTTGATGAACAAGAAAACGATGGAGTTGAAATGCACGATGACATCACACCAAACCCAAAAAATCATTCTGTTGTTGAACAAGTTGTCCCTGTTTCGGATCCAATCCAAAACGATTCAAACAGTTTGAAAAATGTTGAAAATCAAATACACTGTTCCATCGTCCAAACTAGTCCAAGTGACAACGTCGACAAACAAAGCAATAAATCCAAATCTACTGATGGTCAAAATGTTGTCGATCAAAATGCAAATATATTGCAAGGTGAGAGCAATATTAATGACAACGACATGTTGAATGATATGGACAGAATCAATGGTCATTCTAAGAACTTGAACAATGAAAATCAAGTGTCTGCAGGCAACTCCAACAATGCAAATAATACTGACAAAATCGACATGAATGCTGAATTGGTTTCTGACAAGAAGAAACGCGGTCGTCCCGCGAAGAAAAATGGAAATGAAAAATCGGCTGATCAAAACAATTCAACTGAAATCAATGGTGAACTGAATGGTGAAAACACAAAAATTGATGGTGAAACCACCGAAAATACTTCAAACAGTTATGTTGAAGCCGGGCCGTCCCATGATCGTTCATCAGGAGCCAAAAGCAAGCCAAAAGACGTGCCAAATCAAGTGGCGAACACTGAAACGGATTTTGTGTTTTCATTAAATCACAAATTTGTTGTTTTGAACGTATGTATTTTATTGAGAACTTAACAAACGACATTAGTATTGATTTTCTTGTTTGTGATTTTGTTCACAGAATGGTGACCGCACATATGTCGAAGCTGGCATCACAATCAAAAAACACATTTTGAACGTGTTGAAAAAAATGAATGGTGACAAGGAATTCAACGGCAAAAGTGGTGATAGAGCATTCATTGAAACTTTGCTGACGAAATTTGGTACATTGGTGACAGGACAACCACTATGTGAAAAGAAACTTCAATTGTTCAAAGGTAAATCATTTAACTAAATTTTTCCAATGAAATGATATATGATTTAACGAAAAAAAATGTTTTCAGACATGTTTGGTTGCCGCACTCTATTGGATGGATCGCGAACAGATCGCTTCGATGGCTTGGTTCAGCGCATTATTGAAAAAATGCAATAATCCATTACAGTGGATTTAAAAATATAAACCTTATAGGTTTTTTGAACTGATTTACAGTCACAACAAAAAATATTTACAGTCAATTATTAGACTATATATTAAGATAAATTTCTGAAAACTTTGCTAACTTTTTTTGAAAACATACAAGACATACAGTAGATTGCCAAATGTCGACACACGACCAAATGTCGGAATACCGAGAGGTGAATTGAAATTAAAAATTGAAAATTCATTTGAATTGCATTTTTAAAAGTAAATTATGAAAGATCAATATCAAATCTCTTTATTATAATCCAAATTTTAATCAAAAATCTATTATTGCTTTCACAAATTACGTTCAAAAAAAATTCGGCATTTTTATCACTTTTTCACGTCAAAAGTTAAACTATGTCATTTTGAGACAAGCCGGTAAAATGCGTTTTTTTATATGAAAAAATAACTAGTTTGGAAAAAAAAATTATATCGGCGAATTGTAGATAGTTTAATTTAATTATTGAACAGAAATTTCGAAAATATAAAGAAAAACAATTATATTTATTTTTCATTTTTCACTGTAATATTATTCCGGAATAAATCGTCCAATTGCCGACACATAAAGCACCGAAGTTTCAAGTGAAACACTTTGGATTTGACAGATGTGACAGTTAAAGTCGTATTTGGATCATTGTGAAATTCAAACCAAAAATATTCTAGATCAGTGAAATAACGTAATATTTTTAAATATTTTTGCCACTTTACTATAGAAAAATAAGTAAAATAAAATATGGAGCAAAAATATATCAATCTAATAATTTTAACTCCAATATTTTGTATTGTTTACCTCAATGTAAATAGTGCGTTCATGGGCTGTCAAAACTTAAAGTTTACAAGTTTCGTAGTGAAAATGCATGAAATATGTCGAGATTAGGGAGCCGAGAATTGGACGACGAATATCCGACATTTGGAATTTTCGATGTTATGACGAAAAAATGGAAAAAAATAATACATTTTTGGAAATTACTATCTTTTGAGAAACGTGAAATGAAGCACAATTAAATTCTGCATCGAATTGTGTATAAAGTGATATTTTTTCATGAAATCAAAAATGTTAAATATTAAATTGAAGTTGAAAATTCAAACAAATAGTCCGACATTTGGGCGAGTGTCCATAATTCAATTTTCTTATTTAAAAATGTAAACCTTGAGGGCTTTTTCTGAACTGATTGAAATAAAAATAATATTTATACAGCCATTCACAGTCACTCATTAAACTAAAATAAATTTCGGAAAACTTTGCACATGTATAAATGTTAGAACAATATTTTAAAAAGTAACCATTTTTTTAAGGTAATGCTGCTGGACAGTCAACTCCACCTTTGTTAGTTTTTGCTGGCAAACGTTTGCCAAATCAGATAAATACATATTTACCAAGCGAGTGGCAATCGGGTGTGTCTGAATCTGGATGGATGAATAGCGATATCTTTTATGAATACGTGACAAATAAATTTTATCCATGGATGCAGCAGTTGAAAATTCCGACACCAGTTATTCTTTTTGTTGATGGACATACAAGTCATCGATCCTTGCGATTGAGTGAATTTTGTCTTGAAAATCGCATTATATTGGTTTCATTGTTACCGAATTCAACACACTTATTGCAACCAATGGATGTAGTTGTTTTTGGACCCATGAAACGTAAATGGTCGACAATGCTACAAAATTTTAAACGGTCAAACAATGAAATGGGGCCAATGCCTAAGCACACATTTGTGAAGTTATTGCAAAGTTGTTTGCAGGAAATCGTAACACCAGGTACACTCAAAAGTTCGTTTCAAAAAACTGCTTTGTACCCGTTCAATGCAAATAACTTTGATTATTCACAATTGCCATTAAGTGAAAGCAATTCCGATGTACAACTGACTGATACTTCCTTCAAAGCAAGCTTGGAACAATTAATTGATTCAATCTTACCAGGCAAAATGGAAGAATTCAATAATGCAGGTGATTTGTGGACTGGTGATACTGATTCTAGTCACCTATTCCTTCTATGGAAAGCCGCACGTGGTGGTCTAACAAATGAAGTAGAAGAAGCAGAAGTAGACGAAGAAGAAGGAGAATATGAACTGTTGGACGTCGTTGATAATCTTGAAAATGAAAATGAGCTGAACACAAGCGACACTATTGTGTACGAGCCAATCGCAACAAGGTAATATTTGAAATTACATATTCATTTGAAATATTATATATACTTCATTTTTTAATTAGTTCTTCGGCGAATTCATTACCAATTCTGCATCAAGAAGATGCTGAGGACGATTCAGAAGATGAAGCAAATCTAACTAGTGAAGTTAGAAATATGATTGCAAGAGCACAACAAAATGAATCATCTGATGAAGAAAACCAACCATCAAATATGAATGTAAGCACCGTACAAAGTCGTCATAAGTCAACGAATCCAATAATTTCATCACCACCGTATATTGCTGCAATGAAACATGTAAAGGAAAAGAAGGAAGCAGAAGAAAGACAAAAGAAAATTCGCCGAGAAGCACGTTTAGATAAGGCCAAACAAAAACTTGAAAAAATGCAGCAAAACATCGATAAACTTCAAAAACAAGTTCACAACGACAAAAAATAATAATATCATAATGTTATCACATTTATTTATTTATTTTTTTAATTTTCATGAATGATCGAATTTATTTTGAATAAAAATAAAATTGAAAAGTTTTTAATAATTGAATACTTGTGTATTTTTGGTTTTGCACACTTTGACGTTTATTTCGTTTTGTTTACCATTTCCAAAGTGCGTTTAATGATATGTCAAAAATGAACTTTTTAAAGCGTTTATATAAAGTTGCATGAAATGTATCGAGATTAGGGAGCCGGAATTTGGACGTATCAAATCCGACATTTGGAATTTCCGATGTTACATTATAAAAATAGAAAAATAATAATAAATATAAACAAATTTTTTTTTTCCAAATATGTAGATAGAATCACAACTAAATTCTGCGTAGAGTTTTGTATAGGATGATATTTTTTTATGAAAGTAAAAATGTGAAATATTGCATTGAAGTTAAAAATTCAAATAACTAGTCCGACATTTGGGCGAGTGTCCATATCTGTAAAATATCGGTTATATTCGGGTATTTTTTGATAATTAATTGTTCTGGAAGTGGGTTTTGGTGGATCCTCTGGATGGACCAGACCATGGTTTGACAATCTCTTAGCCCATCCTGAGGGTCCACTTCCAGAACTGGAAGTGGTTCTGATGATCCATTTGTAAACATTTGCATCATTTGTTATACTGTTGTTTATTCGTCGAATTCGGGAAAGAATCTTACATGAAAGCCCCTAGGGAACACATCCTTGATACAATGATTTTCGAAATAGCACTGTTTACGGATTTGCCAAAGATTGTGCAGTGCAATGTGCACAGTTCTTCAGTAGCTTCGGTGATATTATATCACTGCATTCACTCAACAATTGATTCAAATCGATATTATCGCTCTGTGTGTATTGATTTTCGAAAAAATCAGCGAATAATTCTGCTTTCGACGTTTCGGTGCTTGCTGTTTCATTGTTGTATTCAACAATAGCAGGAATGTCGCTTCTTTTTCTTCTGTCGTTCACAAACTGCCAAAAGTGATTTGGATTTGATTTGATTTGCGCTTGTATACGGCCGATATACGATTTGAATAGCTGGCTTTGTAAATGGACGAACGAATCAGTGATGGTGTTGTATGCGTCGAAATTGCCAGTCTCCCTTGCTCGCTTGTATGCTTTCCTTCTGACATTTTCCATGTGCTTCAATTGTTTCGTGTACCATGGTGGATCAGTGCTACTTTGAACGGTTATCTCCGGGACAAATGAATCGATCGCCTCTTGTAGAACATTCGTAAGAGTTAAGAATGCATTCTCGAGGTCATCTATTCGATTAATTTCTGAAAATATGTCATTTCCGGCAAAGAATTCGTTCATCGAATCGAAATCGGCCGAGTTGTATGCATATAGTTGCGAAGATTGCGGTGATGTGGACTCGTTTCCATCAATTGTGATTTCGATTTCAATTGCTTTGTGCCAAATGTCGGACTTTATCATTGGTTTTGTTGATTCAATCAACGACATTTCATTGAACTTTATTGAATCCAGATATCCAAATTGCCTTTTTAAATGTTGGTTTTTCGGCTCGTTTTGGTTTGGCTACAACGCTGAGTCGATGTGTGGCCGATTTTGTTCCTGTTTTTGGTTTTGGTGCATCGAATTTGACATTATTGGCCGGTGGAATAATCGATTTCGGTGAATCCTCAGTTCGTTGTCGTTTGGCTGACTGGTTCGTATTATTTCGCATTACACTGGCATACGAATTAACTGCTAATGGTGTTTTCATTTTTTGTGCGGTGAATTTCGTGTTTTTCGATGTAATCGGTGTGTTCGGTGCATTTTGATTCGGGTGCAAAAGAGCCGGTCGCTATCATCACTTTACTCGCTATCATTTTCGTTGAATTATCAATGCCGGTTGTTTTTTTCGTCGATTGTGTCCAATTTTTTTGAATTTTCTTCAATCACAATGCGGAGCAATTTTACCTCGTTCATAATTTGACGAATAGACATTTTATCCGGTTTCGGTGTTGATTTTGTTCCAAATGACGCGTACAAATCGTTCGATTGTGTACCGTTTGATGTTTCATTGGCGCACACATTGCAAAAAAATCGAATGTTCGGAGATGAAATTTGGCTAACTTTCAGGTTAATTCCAATGCACAGAAGATGAATGCATCCATTGCAGTTGAAACACTTTGTGGTCTGATCGGG